AAATGCTCACATACGACCCAGCGTCTCAAATAGCCTCTAATGAGGAAGCCTGCTTACTGTTTTCTCGTGGCAGAGGTGTTTTTCCACCAAGGTGAGAGCACGAAGAGTCGACATCCGGGGCTATAACCGGGTTGGCGGACCACTGGCAGGTCACCGATGGGAGTTGGCCGAAAACCCTGATTCGCACCCAACCAAGAAGAGGTGTAAAATCCACGTACACCTCGATTGGGCAGCAATGTTTATTGGGCACCGTGGACGTTTGACCCGGTCCAAAGGGCAAGTGATCCGATGAACTGGACACCGTTGGTTGCAGTTTCAACCAACCGCCGCGCTGCGTTGTGGATGAGGCTTTGGTTAGCCGGAGACTCCGGTCGTGGATTCTTCAAGGAAATTCACCTTCCTCGGCATGGTCAACCTTCCATCATTCAGCCCACATGCAAAGCATGGAACGTTTTTCATTTTGTTAAAGATTGTTGTATCATCATTTATTTGGCACAGTCTGGCGTCAGACGTTTGTGAAATATAATACCACAGATTGCCAGTTCCTGTATTCTCTCCGTTCAAATTTGTTTCAATGTTCCACTCACCAAACTAATCTGTCTGTTTACTGCTGTACCAACAACTCCCACATGACTTCCTTCCGTGTGCTTACATGCCAAATTGGTCCGCTTTAGACACAGTTTTGTAAAATCCCTAAATGTAAAGAACGGTATTTTTTCTAAATTATTCTTCATCATTTGACTTCATTACTCAATCGTTTCTTCACCGAAAGCTTGAAGAAGGTTCTTAGTCGTTTGGATGCTGACTGGTTACTTTTGTGCAATGTGTTTTACAAGCTAGAGTTTCCCAACAGTTATCTTAGCTTGTTGTTTTGTATCAAGATCGAAAGAAGACATATGTCGCAAGATGTTAACATTTCGTTTAATCTTCTCAATCGCTGACGGCAAACAAATAAGCACATTTATAGCACATTAGATTTGTAAGTCATAAAGATCGGACATATACAGTTAGACAGGGGCTCTTAAAATTAAAAAGTATAGGTCAACTCCACGACAAGTGAACTGATTGGATCAACGACTTTTGGGCGCGCAGAAAGGGCTTATGTAGTCATATTATCAACGCCTCACTTATTGCCAACAGTTTTGCATTGCACTTACGTAACAACGGTTTGAAAGAAGAAGCGGGATCAATTGTGTTTGGTTGTCATGATTCGTTTCGCAATTGATGATCTCGGTTTACGTGTAACCGCCTTAGTACTGGGCGTGGGTTGCGTCATCGACTTCACCGATTACTTTAGAAATGTGTTCTGCTATCCGCTGTGATAATTGACAGTTGGTTCTGCTTAGGTATGCGTCACCGCAACTGCAGATGAACTGGTATACAGTATGTGAGACAGAACTGGATTGCCAACCATGTATACGTTCGTCCAAATCGATTCCACGAGTAGAGGTAATAAGTCGGAATTGAGCAGCTGGGAATGTGCGGTTTAGAGCTGACTTCAACTTTTGGCGCACAACGTCCAGAAGGTGATCGCCCTTGAAAGATAGTTTGATGTAAACTGCTTCCTGCGCAACAGTTGGCGATGGGTTAACTTTTTGAGATTGTTCACTATGAATATCAATGAATCTTTCCAATATTCTTCTTCTTCCTATGTTTTTTAAATTCTAATAACCCCTGTCTAATTGTACAAGTTCGTTCTCTATGATTTGCAAATCCAGTGTGCTATAAACGTGCTTGTTTGCCTTACGTCAGCGATTTTGAAGATTAAACGAAATGTTAACATCTCGCGACAGGTATCTTTTTTCGGTTTTGATACGATGGATGAAGGGGACCCAGTGTTCCAAATGTGTTTTGTCCCTATCACACCTTGATTATCCACGCAACCCGAATATGATGAATTCTGTTAAATGTCTTGATGTCACACCGGAGGACTCCGTCCTTTGGGCCTCCCACAGTGAATGTTTGGTCAGTCAAGTAGGTTAAGTACAATTAGAAAATTACATTTCAATGTTAATAGCGTTTCATCTCTCTTTGGGGTTATCCAATTTCTACTAGATTTCCTGACGGATGGTAACATTCCTACTGTAGTGATGTACTCAATACTATTGCTTAATAAGTTTATTATTAACCTTTTTATCAACTCGTCAACACCCCCCATGGTGTTTTTTTCGGTAATTGTCTACTTCGTTACAAAATTCTCGAATAAACTAAAAATAATCTTGATTTCTGTCTTTTATTGGTTTTTCCTTTCTCTTCGTTTTTATCCCGCTATAGATGGGTCGAATGCAAATGGAACGAGGTTTTTGAGCCTGGTCTTCAAAAATGCGTTCTTTCTGCTAGCTCTTTGGAGCCGGATGCAGAAAATCGTGGACCGAATCACCTTTTCTTACATCTCAAACTGTCTGACCCGGAGCACGCTCGAAAGCGAGTACAACAGGCTCTACGTCTGACCGGATCTGACGGAGCCACATCGCTTTTTCTGCGTCAGATTATTCTGCCGGATTGTCCACTCCACGGATTTGGTGAGCTCCTTAGAACTCTAGGAATAACCATTTTGATTCGGATGTTGTTTGTCACCCTTTTGTGTTTGATACCGTGTTTCACTTTGTCCGTGCATTTAGTTTGTTCGAATGTCAACAACTCTTTTTTCTGTGCCACTCGCAATGTAACAGTGTAACATTGGCTTCCCAGGTTTCATGCAACTCCTCTGACTCATATGCAACCCAATTGTTCCAGGTGGGCAACCATAGACAGAGGTTGGGGTTCTTTCTTCATGTTCAAATGCTAGATTTTTGCACTTTTAACATTTATTTTTTTATCACTTTATTTTCTCGCTAATCCAGCAGTACTATTCAAGAACAACAATTATGTGAAGTAAAACTTGGAGCTCTAAATCATATTGGCAAGACTCTAATGTCCATGTGAGGGGAAAATAATTGGTTCGTGATGATGTGCAAAACTGCAGTTCAGCCGAAACCACAAGCCAAGTATAACTTTTCGATTGCCTGAAATGGCTGTTTGCCATCGTTCCCGGATCATATATGAGATACAAATGAACCGGACAAAATATATTCTTACGCCTTATAGAAATGCTAAATTTCTGCTCAGCTGAGCAATAATCAGAAGTGACGAGTGAAAATTTCCAACTGCGTAATAGTTCCTCACTTTGTGAGCAATTGAACCAATCGACTAGCCAATGGAAGGGAAATCCTTTCCTGCTCTCACGAATTGCACATGTGATAAATAATAAATGGCCATCCATGTTTGTTTATTTTGGGCTAAACTGCCAAATGACTATTCAATACCGTTTACTTAGATCACATGAAACCCGCTTTCTTTGCTATGTCCTCTCGATCAGCTGCGTATTCTGAAATTCTCAACGATCATTACAACTGCATTTGCTGTAAACCTCAAGGTTTCATTAGTCAAACGACATATGTTTGCCATTCATTCTTGACACCATGGAACGAACAAAAACAAATTATTATCATCAGACCGTGTTTATGTATTCCGGTTATTTAACTTCCACCCACACACAATGGATGGCCTGCAGCATCCGATTCATGATCATTACTGGTGATTTCTCCCGTTTGCTTTTTGCCATCCCTTTGTGAAACGTAGTTCGGTCGAACTTCATCTCACGTCTGACTGGAGGAGAGACTGTACAGCCGCGAATTAGCCGGGCTCGTCGCTTGACTGTCGATCCCCCTGAGACCACTATCGTGCTGTCCGAGTAAGTCATTGATTGTATCAAAAGTAAACTTGGCAAAATCGGGTATGCGAACACATTTTTGAGGACAAACTATTGCTTCGAAAGGTTCTTCACTACCAATTACAAGTCATACTAGGATGAGAGTCTTGTATTCCATTATATAGGGATCCAATAAAAACAGATAGGGGTGGGTCAGTACACAGTTTCCTGCACTACCAAGGATATTCATCTCTTTAAACGTTGTATGAGTCATGGAGCTTGTAGTAACCCACAACTAAGCACCATAATTTCTAGGGTGTTTATGCTCAATTGACGAATTATCTTTTAATGCCTTTAGGTATAATTTCTTAGTCATTGAATTTTCTTGCCCGTTTTATAAACCCTAGCTAATATGCAGCTTCCTAGTGCTTGAGCGTTCTGATTAGGTAGCTCATTACCTTACGTATATATCTCACCGATTTCCGTCCCCATTATCTTATCACCTCAATTGATAACCACTGAACCTCTGTCTACTATGACAGAGAGATAATCCCTGGACAGTTTTATTTGTGCAGTGTCACTAAGTGCAGTGGCACAGTTGAACAGGTCAATCATTTACTCAATAGCATTCCCCGCCTGCTTGTTTAACCGACTGTTTTTGTCACAGAGAAAATGAATAACAACAACGTTACAATGTTGTGTGCTTAAATGCGCGCACATTCTGACGTGCTTGAATTCACTTCTCTCGAATGGTATCTACACTAGCAAACCCAACAATGAAGCTACTGTCCCGTCCATTTTATCTGCAAATAATTTGAATAGTTTTGTGAATAATTAAAAAGGAATACATATTTATGTATGTCACTAGCTTGCCGGCAAGCGTGGCACTAATGCGACAACACTAACAGGGATGAGGGGATTGGAATACAGAATACAGTGAAATGGAGATTAAACAGTAACAGTGAATAGCAGTATGCAAAAAGAAAAACATCAAATTTCTGTGGTGTATCTCGACGTACATCTTTTTCATACTTTAGTATTTTGGTTTATTTATGTTTTTTAAGGCTCATGGGATTTCAAATGGCAGACCGCACAGCGTCACTGACTTTTATTCTGGTATTGGTTGTATATATATATTGTACTGCCCGAATATGATGCACTAAAATATTTTCTGTATGATCAAATGGAGTTTCATTATATTTATCGCCTATTATTGCTTTAGCTATGGACAATATTTTATATCTTGTCTACTTCAATCTACCTAGTTTCTAGGCTGCATGAATGTCAATTAAACGTGCCTGACCTTGAGTGTCAAGATTAAATGATCTCAACATGAGAACCACAAACTTTATCAAGTATCCCAGCGCAATCTTTTCTAATAGGAATGACTCAAGTATTATCCTAAATTATTTCCACAACCCCTTGCCATCTCGGTTCTTTGTTATGAGGCATTATTTTATCCAATATATAATTCATTATAGCAACTTTATTGGATAACCAAATGAAATTCTATTACAACCCAGAGAAATTGCATTAAATAGGGCTTCATATTAATAATCTATGTTTGATATCTAATTCAATGAATTCGAGAAATACCACTTCACTCAAGGTCAACCTTGAAATCAAGGTCATTTTTGTATACAGCTTTGAATGTTCGTATTGTTATCACCATAATAAACCAAGCAGCGCTTGAAACCAAAAGTTCCCGTTCTCTCAGTAAAGAAGACAGAAACAGAACTGTACGAGCACATAAGCTGGGATTTTCCATATCAAATCTTGCCCAATGCTTT